AGGGTCCCACATGGCGCGCAGACCTCTCCTGCTGCCCACTGCTCCCCTCAGCAGTGTACTTAAGTCAGTCTGCCTGCTCTGCTTTCCGCTCTGGCTCTGGTGAATTCTCTTACCCTCTCACGCTTCTGACTGTAACCAGTGCTTGCATAAATAAATAAATCTTTAAAAAAAATACTACTACAGCTTATTTAAGCAGTCATCTGTTAATGACATTGCTCATGGAACTATGTGTGGTATCAAAACTTAAGTATACATCATATTTTTTGGTAGATATTGGTCAGATAACCCTCTATAGAAATTGTAACATTTCACTCTTTAACAGCAAAATATTGTCATTCAATGTTTGAGTTGTTGCTAATCTAAAAGGAAAGGACTAAAATCTCATAGTTTTCTTTTTTTTTTTTTCCAAATGAAGGTAAGATTCTGCTTTTGTCCTTTACCCAATTTCCCACCGGTGGTTCTCCTCTCTTGATTTCTAGGAACTCTTTTTATAGAAAGTTACCATTTATAAGAGTTTTCCCAGGATATCATTTGTATTTTAACTTTTCTTGAGGAGGTGGTGTTGTTTTGGATATTTGTTGTTTTTTCCTGCTTGTTTTTGTTTTTGGCCTTTTTTTTTTATACTCAAGTTTGTGAGGGGTTTTCCCTTAATTTATTGGCCAAACTTATCAGTTTTTCACTTTATGACTTCTGGGGTTCGTATATAGAAAGGTTGCCACTTTATAACAGGAATCCACTTTTTTAAATTGTTATAATTTTATTTTGTTACATCTAAATATCTGATACACTTGAAATATGAATTTAAATTTATTTTCCTTTCAAATGGTTGTCTCAATATCATTAATCATTTCCCTAATGATATATGATGCCTTTATCATAAACTAAATTACTATGTGTATTTAGATCTACTTCTGACCCCCTATTTTATCTATTTATTTGTAATAAGTCATTTACAGTATATTTTCAAATCTGAAAAGGCTAGTTTATCATCCTCACCCTTCTTTTTCAGTTTTCTAACCAATTACTGCTATTTTTTTTTCTATATGAACTTCAAAATTAACTATCTGGTACAGTTACTACCCCCACTTAAAAAAAATGGTATATTTATAGGGATAAGATTATTTTATAAAACAGCATAGAAAGAATGGACAATTTTATGATGTTGAATGTTCCTTAAGAACATCCTTTGCCTTTGTATTTGCTCAACTTTATGTACCTCAGTACACCTGAGGATTTAAATCACCTGAAGATTTAAATAGCTTATAACAGAGAAGAACAACAGGTATTTCAATGTGTTCTGTACTGTTAAAAGGGAACATATGAAGTCTTCATAGGAGCATTTGCAAGATTTTGATAATAAACTTCCTAACTATAACTAAAAAGGATCAAGATACAGTCATGAATCATTTAACAATGGAGATATGGGCCTCCCTGGTGGCACAGGTGGTTGAGCGCAGCACTGTGAAGCTATCTGCAGCTTCTGCAGTGCGGGTTCGATCCCGGCCGGCCACAGAGATACCCACATGGCACAGCAGATCTCTCCTATCTCGCCTACTGCTCCCCTCAGCAGTGTATTTCAATCAGTCTGCCTGTTCTGTTCCCCGCTCTGTCTCTGGTGAATCCTCTCACCCTCCCGCACATCTGGCCTGTACCCCAGGGTTCTTGTATAGAAAAAATAAATCTTAAAAAAAAAAAAATGGATATACATTCTGAGAAATAAACAGTTCTATTATTGTAGTAATGATACAGAGTACATGGTGATTTTTTTTTTTAAAGCTTTATTTATTTATACAAGCACTGGGTACAGTCAGAAGCGCGGAAGGGTGAGAGAATTCACCAGAGCCAGAGCGAGGAACAAAACAGGCAGACTGACGAAATACACTGCTGAGAGGAGCAGCGGGCACGGCAGGAGAGGTCTGTCGCGCCATGTGGGAGCCTTGCCAGTGGCCAGGGATCGAACCGGCACTGCAAAAGCTGCAGGCAGCTTCTCAGCCCAGCGCTCAACCACTGTGCCACCAGGGGAGGCCCTACATGGTGGTTTTTTTTCCAACCTTTTCATCCTTAGCAAAATCTTTTGAAGTCATGGAAGAAACTCTTTTTTTTTTTTTTTTAAAGAATTTTTTTTATAGAGGCATGTTTTTATTTATTTGTTTGTTTTTGTTTGTTTTTGTTTATACACGCACTGGGTACAGTCAGAAGCGTGGGAGGGTGAGAGAATTCACCAGAGCCAGAGCGGCGAGCAGAGCAGGCAGAAGGACCGAAGAACACTGCTGAGGGGAGCAGCGGGCGGCAGGAGAGGTCTGCGTGCCATGTGGGACCCTCCTCTGGTGGCCGGGGAGCAGCCGGGGATCGAACCGGCGCCGCAGAGGCTGCGGGCAGCTTCGCAACCCAGCGCTCAACCGCTGCGCCACCGGGGAGGCCCCATGGAAGAAACTCTTGAGTGTATTCTCCCAGATGCCAAACATAGACTCCTTAGTGACATCACCCAAAGCCCAAATAAGATTCTTGTTGCAGTCACCAATATTGTAATCCTTGTAGAATTGCATCAGTGTTCCTCAGTTGTAGTAATAGCCTGGGCCAAGTTGCTCTCAGGTAGTAGGTTTTAAAAAGCTGCTAGAACTTCTTGATCCATTGGTCAGATCAAAGAAGTGGTGTTTGGAGAGAGAAACACCACTTTAATAATGGAATCAAGATCACCAATAAAGGGATGTCTGGGAGCAATACCAACAATAAGCAAAATCTTGAAAGCATGTTTCTCCAAATAGCACTTCTCCATTTCAATGGCACAGCAATTCAGAAAGGAGTCTTGGAAGAGGGGCTGGGTCATTCATGACTTCTTATTGCTCCTGTGATACACTGGCAGTGTGTGCTTACTCATATGTCTAAAGACCTTGGATTTTTCACTCTGCCAGGTTACAAAGGGTTAACCTGCAATACTGCGCCCAAATAAGACTGTTATCCTGTCCTTAAAAGCCTTGAAATCTGGCACTGACTTGGCTTCCTTATGGAACAAAGTCCTTTCAGGTATCCATTTCCAGAATAGGGAGGTTTACCATAGCAAAGATTGGCTCTGGCAAGTAAGTAATTTTCCTCTACAATCAGCTTATCTAGATTCTAGAAAAATTTCTCAGCTGTCTTTACATCATTGCTCATAGGTTCACCACTCACTTTCACATTATGTAATAAATAATGATTCCTGCATCATTTAAACCACCCACAAGAAAAGCAGTAAATTCAACCCTGCAGTTGAGAAGAGTCTTTTCTTTCAACATTGCAAATGTTGGTCATGATGGTGCCAAAACGGAGATACCTGTATCTTTTCTTCAGTGCAGGTTATTGGAAGTTTCTCCATATCTGATATAGACCCTTTTCAAATTTTTGTCAATCTTCTTGCTTTCAATGAAGCAGATCCTTTAAGAGTTCCCACCACTTTGTTGTTATTCTTCAAGATGTTAGCAATGGTGAAATGGGGCATGCCTGACTAGTGAGCAATAACCATTACTGGTTTTCCATTTTCATAGCACTTAATCACTTTCAATTTTGTTTCCAAGTCACTCACTCAGTGTAGCCTATTTCTAGCCATATTAGCAGTGGACTTTGTATACTTAGGGCCACTATGAACAAAACAACTTGATATTAAATCAAACACAATAGGAAATTACGGTACCGAGACACAGGAGACGTTTGAGGCTGCTGCTGGCTTAAATGTTACAATATTTTAACAGCTAGATGATAGAAACTGGGATCACCACCATTTAGTGGTCTGTTGTAGACTGAATCATTATGCAGGACATGACGGTATGTGAGGCAGCATACACATGTAAGGGAGCATGCAGTTTAGAAATCAGCCAAATTGTCTGTTTTCTGTCCCCCCCCCCCACCTTTGTCTAATAAGAGACACTAAGAGTCACTCCTGCTTCATCTCTCTCCAACTTGATCTCCAGCTACTTTACATATTACTTCTTACCACTCCATCCAAAGCCTTCTTTCAGTTCCTTCAATTCACCAACTTTCTAATTACTTGTGTCCTGTGCTTACTAATCCTGCTACCAGGAACACTCATCCCTGATTCCATGCTTTTAATTTCTTCAGATCTCAGCCTGAATTTCACTTCCACACTTCCTAACTAACCTTATCCAAAATAATGAAAATTATGTTCCTTCCTGTCAAATTTCATAAGCATTCTGATTGTTTCCTTTACAGTATTTAATTACAATTTGGAATTTTTTTAATTAATTTTTTTTGTTCAAAGTCTACCTACCCTAAAAGGTTGTCTAACTGCAAGCACCATGAGGGCAGAGACTGCTTAATGTAGTATTTTGCAGTTACTTTTTTTTCATAAATAATACCTTAAGAATATCTTGTAATACCTTTTTCTTATCACATTGAAAAAGGATCTAGAGAATAGCTAAGACATCTAAAAACAAAGCATACTTTCTAGAAAATTGAGAAATGTGTTCATATTTAGAAAGACATTATATAACCTGGAAATCAAAGTAACTCAAAATGAATAGAGTACCTAATATATTCTGCAGTAGATGCTGAGGATGCAGTTGTAAATGAGACAACAGACTTATAGCAAAAATATCAAATTTTTGGAGCCTCCCTGGTGGCGTAGCAGGTTGAGCACAGCGCTGTGAAGCTGTCCACAGCCTCTGCAGCGCAGGTTCGTGGGTCTGATTCCCAACCAGGCAGGGAGATACCCACATGGCAAGGCAGACCCCTCCTGTCTTGACCACTGTTCCCCTCTGCAGTGTTTTTCAGTAGATCTGCCTGTTCTGCTCCCCACTCTGTCTCTGGTGAATTCTCTCACCCTCCTGTGCCTCTAGCCTGTGCCCCAGTTATTGTATAAATAAATCTTTAAGAAAAATCAAATTTTTCTAAGAATACAAATCTCAAAAGCAAGCTCTCAAAAGTGACCGAAATACCATAATTAAAATTTTACTCATTTTTTTCTTAATGTGACATTAAGTTTCAACCAAATCAATAATGATGCTCACCGATACTGATATGTCCTCATTTTTTCTCTTAACACTGGAGTCAAACAAGACATTTCTCCCTCGTCTTTCACAGTCTTGATAAACAATCAGTCGAATTTGGCTTGGATCAAACTCTGGCAAAGGCCAACTTTAAAAAAAAATAAAGACTCATTAGAGTTTTTGATAAGCATTCCACATAAATTCCTAGAACCAAAACACATATAATAAAATGCAAAGTAGTATTATTGTTAAAGAATAAAAGCAGATCTTTACATAAACTACCACCATTTAGTTCAGGGCTGACAACTCCCATGGTCATGGCATTTTATATTAAAAAGTAAAAATTAAAGCTGTGACAAGTATCACTCATTATACAAAAAAATGTAGTTATCCCATATGAATCTAAAATAGCTAACAATAAAAATATGCAAGTACATTTAACATAATGAAAATACATATTGATTTCATGGCATGTACCCAGATGGGATAAGGTTAACACAAATTTTAAAAACTTTTGTTATTGTTTAATATGGAATTGTAAAAACAGAAAAAGTTTTCAATTTTAATAGTAGCAGAGAAGTGCTTATAAAACAATAACCAGTTGACAAAAGTGATTAATAACTATGATGGACATTCTCAAATAAAACTGATGTGAATAAAAGCTGGCACAATCTCTCTAGAGACCTTTTAAAATATGTAATAGACAAAATCTAATCAAACTGTAGTTAAACCCCAGCAATTCTATTTCAGAGAAGTTTATCATTATATAATAATGTTCATGGCAGCACTATTAGTAACAGTCAAAACTGGAAACCCAAAGTTCATCAACAGAATAGATAAATACATTATGGTATATTCAGACTACAGAATACTATACAACAAACACAATGAATGAATTATACACAAAAACATGAATGGCTTATGAACAGAAGAAATCAGACAATGACACACACACAAATTACTCTATTTTTCCATTCATTTTGAGGCTTAAATCAGGCAAAGTTTTGTCAAGTGACACATATTTGCACTTTAAAACTATACAAAAATGTATGAGCACTATTAGTCTGGTTGACTGAACACACTACAACTGACAGGACAGAAATAGGAAATAGGAGCTAAGAAATGGGAGCTGTTTGTTGTTGGTTAAATCAGACTGAACAGTCAATTCCTCACAGTGCATCAGTCACGTTTCTTGTTTGGGTTCTATCATTTCTTTAAGAGAATCTTAACTCTAACCTTATCATATGAGATGGTCCACATGTTGAAACTTGCAACATAAAATCTCTTCATCCCAAATTCTTGAGGATTAATACAACTTCAGTTTTCTTCTGTCTAATTCTTAGCAAATGTCTGTTAGGAATTGATGAAAGACTTAAGCTAAACAAGAGACTGACTCTTTAGACCACCCTGATTTGCATGGACTGAACTGCCTGTATTAAATGGTGCTTTTATGGTATGCAAAGGAAGGTATAAAAGAACAAATAGACTTAGAATGATAATCAGAAAGGGATCGCATGAAAATCAAGAAAGATTTGCATTTTAGAGAGAAAGAGGAAATCCATGGCAGTCACCAAAAAGCATCCAGTATCTTTAGTGGATGTCATGGTGACCATGGCAAGGACAATTCTAAAGAACAGTAAGTATAGGGTTCAGTCTGCCAAAGACTGAGGAATGAACGACAGCGGAGAAAATTGTGAGTTTAAGACAACAGTCAAGAGAAGAGAAAAAGAAAAGGAATCATGAACTAGAAAGATACTTAAGATATTAAAAGAATGCATTTGAACATGTTTACATATTAATGACAGAGAATGTAAAGTGGAAAGGAGATAGTGATTGAAAATTTAGGCCTCTCATGAAGTGAAGGATAAGATATAGTATACAGATGAAAGAATTAGTCTCAAATAGAAGAGAGGATAATCCCTACACTAGAATGGAAAGAAAAGTTGAACATGGAAATGAAAGATTTGTAGATATGAAGACAAAATGTTCAGGGAATTTATGCCTAAGAGTCCTATTTTCTTTGAAAAATATGTCAAGAGAAATGAATGAAAGGTAATAAAATATAGGGAAAGTATAGAGTTTTAAAAAAAAAAGAAGAAGAAGAACAGTGGTTGTGGGAAAATAAATTGACTAGAAAACAGGTTTACTGGGAAATGCTGGAAGTGTACATAAGATTAAAGTCTATGAATATGTACAGGCCACAAACTACAGTTAGTTCATTTTCTCTAATAAACACTCATGTGCTTGAATTTGGATCAGATTGGGCCAAGTTTAAAGATTTTGATCAGCAAATGGGACAAAAGGAAACAGAGGCCTGGAGATGGGAGAAGACTGATAGGAATACAGTGGAAATGATGGACAGCAGAATCTAAGCTAGGTAAGGAAGACAGAATTATTGAGGTTAATAAATTCAAACAAAATGAAGGAACTGTGGCCAAAATGCTGAAACAACAGGGGTACAGTGGGGAAAATAAGGAATAGGATTTATAATCATAGGGTTTAACAAATTAAACTCCGATATTAGAGTTTAAGATAATTAGAGGTAGAACATTCATCCAAACCCCTCTGGTCTCCAAGATACCCAAAGAATAAAATCCAAATTCCTCTGCTTAGATTTAAAGCTCTTCATAGTCTGGCATGAGCTGCCTTTCCAGAATTACTTCATGTTACCCATGACATCATCACTGTTCCTCTCAAAGGTGCCAAGACATACCAGACTATTTCACAGTCCCCTGCCTTAGTACAGGCTACTTCTTTAACCTGAAATATCCTGCACCACCTTTGCAAACTTCTACTCATACTTAAAGATCTAACTCAAATATCACTATCTTGTAAGTCTTTATTAATTCCTCCAGATAGAGTTAGCTTCTGACTTCTGGGATTCCATCTACTTTAGATTATCATTCTAAAACCATTTCCCACCTGTACTATAATTTATCTGTTTATATACATGTCTGAGTTCCCTGATGGCAAAGCTTATTCATTTGAATCTATAGTTCCAAGCACCGCAAGTGAATTAATACTGCATATCCCTGAGTAAGGTAACATCATAGGCACTAAATAAACATTTCATGCGCACATGAATTGAACCATCACATTCCACAATCTAAAATCTGCAGAAAGATGTCCAAAAGAAGGGTGGGGGGAAAAAAAGAGTCTGGATCTCAGGAGAAAGGTTAAAACTAGGATTCTAGGCACAGGAGTACTGACCAAAAAACTGGCAGTGCTACCATTCAGAAAGAACATATTAACCAAAAATAGGTGAAGTATCAATAAGCTAGAATTTTAGGAAATAACAACAGCGTAAGAATAGAGAGAAGAGAAAGCCATGGCAAAATGCTATTTTACAAGTCAAGCAAGGTAAAGAAGAAGAAAGGAATAGTATATAGTGCCAATCAATGGCTGCAAAAAGACCAAAATTTATAGACTACAAGTGTCCATGGGATTTACAAAACTGGTGGTTCTGGTATTTAACCAGTGGTTCTCTTACTAGAACCATTTCAGTGGAAATAGGGTTTGGGGTGAGAGTAGTCATATAGCATTAATAATTGATTAAAGTGAAGGAGATGAGAAAGCAAGATTATAACTATTTAATATACACTACATGAAGAGGTGTCCCTGTAAAAGGGGAGAAACAAACAGTGTTATCATATAACTGACCATCCAAACTGGAAAGTTCTGAAAGCTAAAGGGGGCCCTACACCACAGAAGTAAACAGATTATCTTGGGTAACTAAAAAACCATGCTCATCCCAGACAGGTAGAAGAATGGATAAGGAAAAAAATGTGAGTCTGTGTGTGAGTGCAAGTGCGTGCGCACGCATGTGTGATTTTTCACAGATATATTCTATTTTTTATATGTAAAAGGAAAAGGCATATACTTAAAGATGCATATTTGTAATTGGTAGGAAGGAATCAGAGAAAGAGTCTAAAATTAAACAGAGAGGCCTGTTGGACTAAGATCCTGGACAATTCAGGACACAGAATCCCAGGCAAAGGTAATGAACTGTACAACGCACTTAATGAAGCAGGAAACAAATCTACAAGTGAAAATAACTGCAGGCAGGTTTTTAGGCTGGAGAGAAGATACTAAATGTTTACATTTGACCATTTCTGGTTTTTCTGTTAGAAGTTAAGCATGTATATATGATGTATGAGGTGGGTGAGGTGAATTGGGGTGTAGAGTTTGACAGCTAAAGATCCGGCAAAGTCATCAAAAGAAAATGGGGGAAGTCACTAGCCCAAGTAAAGCAAAAGACTGTCAGGCCATATTGAGGATTCAGCTGAGTTGAAAACCATAAATCTGTGATAGGACTAATTTCCTATATATTTTTTTAAGATTTATTTTTCATTTATACAATAGCTGGGGTACAGGCCAGAGGCGCAGGAGGGTGAAAGGATTCACCACAGACAGAGTGGGGAGCAGAACAGGCAGAGAGACTGAAAGCACTGCTGAGGGGAGCAGCGGGCAAGACAGGAGAGGTATGCCACGCCATGTGGGAATCTCCCTGGCCAGCCAGGAATCGAACCCGTGCTGCACAGGCTGTTGGCTCAACCCACTGCGCCACGGCGGAGGCCCTAATTTCCTATATTCCCACAAGGAAGTTTAGATATGGAAGGACAAAGGTAAACAACGGATTTAATAGGAGAATACTTGCAATGGAGAAATACGGCAAGGCTGTTTAGAGTGATATCAAGAAAGAAGGTTTGGACTTACTAAAAGAGGAAAAGTGTCATCAAGGGAGCTGACTGAACAGGAGAAAAGGAAAGCAAAACGAAAAAAAAGTAGTCTAAATGAAGTGAAAAAACAAACTGAGTAAGGATATGAAAGATCAAAGGATATGAAGTTGTGATCAGAATGAGATCTCACAAAGAGGGCAGAGTTAGCTAATAATTATACTCAAAGTAAAGCCAAGAAGAACAGATCAAGGTAGAGTGCAAAAGGAGGAGGTGAGGCCAGAATGTTAGATGGGTGGGCTGCCCAAGAATATGATACAAAGTGATCAGGAAAGAGAGACTATCAACTAAATATACAAGCTCTTGAACAATACTGGGGAGCAGGGCCTCCCCTGGTGGCGCAGCAGTTGAACGCTGGGCTGCGAAGCTGCCGGTAGACTCTGCAGCGCCGGTTCGATCCCCTGCCACCTGC